ATTATTATTGTAGACTTTGCTCTTTGTTTTTAAACGAATTACTTTAAAAAATGGTATTTTTTATTTTGGGGATAAGAATTAGATTTTTTGGGATTGCTCGTGCTTCTTTTGTAAATACAGCAACGAAGTGTAAAACTTTGTCGTATATTGTGGTTTGTGTAAAAAATGCAGTTTTCAGGGTTCGTTGAGAAATAAATTTTCCAGTTCCCCAGAATGAAGAAATATGATTTCAAGATTCTCCACACCTGGTCGTACTAAACGAGCTAAAACTGCTTTACAATTGCACCATAAATTTCAGGGAACGACACTGGAGAAAGCAACGATGTGAAGAGCTAAAAGTCACAATGCTAAAATCAAGAAAAAATGAAGCAAATAGTGGGACAAGAAATGAAATCACAAAAGTCGTTTTCAACATTCGTTAAAAATTCAATTTTCCACTTTCTCAAGATCAAAAACTACAATTTCTGAATTCTCCACAGTTCGTCACACTAAACGAGCCAGAACACCTTTGCCAAAAAATTCAATCACAAAGCTCGTTATCGTTATTCATGAAAAAATCAAATTTTCCACTGTCGCACTATCGAAAACTACAATTTCATAATTCTCCACAGTTCGTCACACTAAACGAGCCAAAACTGCTTCACACAAATTTAACTAAATAACAATAAAAGCAGAATAAAAAAAAAAAGTAGAACGAAAAATACAGCAACAAATGAGCACACAAATTTCATTTCCAATATTCCAACATTCCACAAAAACTATAATATCTAAATTCTCCACACTTCTTCACACTAAAGGAGCCAAAACAGCTTCACACAAATTTTACTGAATAATACTGGATAAAGCAACGATGCAAAAAGCCAAAAATCCCAATGAAAATCAGGAAAAAATTAACGGAAGAGTAGGATAAAAAATGAAATCACAAAAGTCGTTAACAACATTCATTAAAAAATGAAATTTTCCACTATCACACTATCAAAAACTACAATTCCCAAATTGTCCACACTTCCTCGCACCAAACGAGCCAAAATACCTTTACCAAAAAATTCAATCACAAAAATCAGTACCATCATTCCTTAAAAAATGAAAATAAATCACAAAAATCACTATCATCATCCTTTAAAAATTAAAATTTTCCACTTTCACACTATCAAAAACTACAATTCCCAAATTGTCCACACTTCGTCACACCAAACGAGCCAAAACAGCTTCACAGTACAACCTAACGCAGCATAAACCATCATTACACAACCGTGCACCCAGCATCAGCAATTCCCCCCCAAAAAAACTCGAAATTTTTCACCCCGTTACGATAAGCAAAGCCACGCGAGATCCCAGGATTCCCCGTATTTCTCGAGCGACTACCTTGCACTTGCCTCGTAAATCGCAATAAACACCGCCGGAGAGACAATAGGACATCGAGGTTTATTACACGGTGCATCCACGCGCAATTTCGCGTGCTCGCGCAATTTTCAACGCGTAAATGTAAATATAGCGGTCGGTGGGACGGTTAGATGGTCAGCGTAGATAGCCCTGAAACGCCGCCGCGTCACACTGTGTCTCTTTTTCGCTTAACGAGCGTGAAAGGCGCAGGAGAACGCTCTCTGGCGCGCGCGCCAGCCTTCGCCGGGGTAAATCCTCCTTCGAAAAGTTTAAGCGCTCGGAAATGGTGGTTTATGCGTTTCCGGTCGGCGTATAACGCGATATCCTAGCCGAAGAGAAGCCGGTTACGCGGATCGTTGAACGCCTCTCTGGAAGAAACTCTCTCTCTCTCGAGATATAGGTATAGATTTTTTCTTTAACGCGGCAGGCGGATATGTACAGAGACGAAACCGCGAATAATTTCCAATCAGCCTGGTTTGATTTACTCACTTGCCTGCCTCTCTGTATAACCTGGCTTATTACGTTCGAGAACCTGTTGCAATTTCACGTCATATTTTACGGTCGCTGATAAATCGTAATTAGTCTTTAATTAGACGCGATAAGCGCAACGATAGTTTCACGGCTTTTTAGCTCTTTGCTTTCTTTCCGCGTACGCTGCGAGAGAGAAATTGAATCTGTCGCGTGTTTAATGGGATTTTTTGAACGAATTGAATCGTTGTTTGGTGAGAAATTGATGGATTATTTGCATTGTCTGGTGGATTTGGAAATATTTTTTTGAGCAATTGATTAAGAATTTGGGTCATTATTCAATAATTGAAAATTCTTCGAAGAGCTCTGTTATTAATTTTGTTTGTTCTTCGTTTCTTGTACGTTGTATGGATAGAAATTGAATCTGTCACGTGTTTAATGGGACTTCAATTCTAACTGGAATTGAAAAGAATTGAATCGTCGTTTGGTGGGAAATTGATAGATAATTGCATTGTGTTCGGTGAATTTTGAAATATTTTTATCGAGTAATTGATTATAATTATTTATCTTTCAATAATTGCTAATTCTTTGAAGAACTCTGTTATTAATTTTGTTTGTTCTTCGTTTCTTGTACGTTGTATGGATAGAAATTGAATCTGTCGCGTGCGTAATAGGATTTCAATTTGAATTGCAATTTTTGAAAGAATTGGATCGTCGTTTGGTGTAAAATTGATTAATAATTGGATTGTGTTTGTTGAATTTTGAAATATTTATATTTTATAATAAATTGCGAATTTGTATTTTAATAATTGCTAATTCTTCGAAGCGACACTGTTATTAATTTTGTTTATCCTTCATTTCTTGTACATTGTATGGAGAGGAATTGAATCTGTCGCACGTTTCACGGGACTTTAATTGGAATTCGAATTGAAAAGAACTGGATCGTCGTTCGTTGAGAAATTGACAGATAATTGCATTGTGTTCGCTGAATTGTGAAATATTTATATCGAATTTACGTTGTTATTCAATAATTGCTAATTCTTCGAAGAACATTGTGTAATTTATTGCTTGTCAGATTGGCATATTCTTGTTAATTGCCTCGCTGTTTGTTACAAGTTGCTCGGATATTATTACCGACGATTTTAATCGATTTCAAAGTTGAATTTCAAATACGTATGCAATTATATATCTCACGTTCTCAGAGAGATTTCAACATGCCCGGAGAAATACTCTCATTTAGGAGCTATTAAGACTAATTAGGAATTCTTCGTAACTCGTTAGAATATTTAGGCTAATTAGAAATTTCCAATAACCGATCTTTAAATCGTTACCAGTGCCTTATTATCAGACTGTTTAGGCTGATTTATGAAATTCCGAATAATCAATTTTCAACTGATTAGAAATTCCTGGTACGGCAATGCTTAATTAAAACCATCCAAATTCTACAACAGACTTGAAAAATAAATCCAATGGAAAATGATAAAACACGTAGACTCTGCATTTGCAATTCCAATTTTTCAACGATCAATTTTTAACTCATTACTGGTGCTTAATTTGCGAAGCATAATTGTAACCATCTAATTGCCACAATTGACCCCAAAAATAAACACCATAAAAAGAGATAAAACACTTGCAATTGTAAATTTCCAAAGACCAATTTCTACCTAATTATAAATTCTTAATTAAATCCAATTAAACACCGTAACTGTATTGAAGAACAGACACCATACCTGCCAACCTTTGGCGTAAGAGATAAACACCATAAAAAAGAAAAGAAAAAAAGAACTTAATTCCAAACTTCCAAAGACGAATTTTTACTTAATTACAAATTCCCATCCAAACACCATAACTGTATTAAAGAACAGACACCATACCCGCCAATCTTTGCCCCAAGAAACGAACACCATAAAGAGGAAAGAAAAAGAACGTAGTTCCAAATTTCCAAAGACCAATTTTTACTTAATTACAAATTCCTAATTATAACGATCTAAACACCATAACTGTATTAAAGAACAGACACCATACTCGCCAACCTTTGGCACCAGATGAACACCATAAAAAATAAGGAGAAAAAAGAAACATAGAACACGCTCGCGAAATTGTTGGAAGGCGATCGACAAAAGGCCAGGGTTGGTCCTTTATAAATAGAGGCGTTTAAAAGTGAGGAACGTGGACCGGTTTACAAGGGGTCCCATAAAGTAACATCGCCCGGTTCGCGTATCCCTTTTGGCCAGGGTGGCGCGTGTGGCGAATCGTCATAAATCCGATCAAATACGACGGGACACTTTATGGAGTACTATCGGGTGCATCCTTACCATAAAGTATAATAGACCGTTCCTCGGGCTAGAAAGAGGAACACATGGCTGGATTTTCGAATGCCAGAACACGTCCTGCGTGGTGCGCGCATCCTTGCACTCGAACCCCATAGATCAACCGTGTCGTACATCGTAACCACCTCGAGAGCCGCCCCTTAGAGGGATCTGGTGTTCTTCCAGGCTTAGATTAGGCTCGGGGGAACGTGTAATAGCCTGGATTTAGAGGGAACGTGGATTTTTTCCAACTTGGAGTTGTTCATTTTTTAAAAAAGGAAATAACAAGGATGATTTAGTTGGAATTCAAAGTAGAACCTTAACTCTGTTTTAGCATGAAGCAAGATTATTTTCAAATATTTTATGTATATTAGTATTAAAATCGAAATTAAAATTTTTCAAGAGGAATTTGGCAATCAAACTGTGCAAAATTCAGCAGTCAAATTTTGAAAC